TCAAATATGTCCCTTGAATGTCCATGTGAAGGCAAAGATAAACAGACTGAAGGCCAGGAAGGAGCCAGGGTGCATTCCGACACAGGCTGCAGAGAGAGCACAGCCCGGGCCATGCCAGGACCTCAGACTGCAAGCCTCCAGGACCCTGAGACAATGGAGCTGTGGTCTGCCACTGCCCAGAGGGTGGGGCTTCCTCAGGGCGGCTGTGAGGGAGCACATCGGCATTGGAAGGTGGCTGCTGATCTTGAACCCTGCACCCCTGCAAGACCTGCCTGGAAAGCCCTACACCCATGGCCCCAGCTCAGTGCTTCTAATCCTGCGTTTCCCTGGCTTCTCTGATGCCTACTAGGAACTGGGGGTCTCCAAGGTCCTTCCAACTGTGATTTCAGGGGATACTCTTAACCTAATTATCTGAAGGGTTCTAGGAGGGGACAAGCCGTGAGTGAGGGTAGGCCTGGCCCCACTTTTGTACGTTTCACATTTTAATCCCTTAAAGAATACATATATAGGCTGGGTGTGATCCAGCGGCTCGGGAGGCTGCGGGAGGCTGTGGCAGGAGGATCGTGAGTTCCAAGCCGGCCTTAGCAACTTAGGGAGGCCCTGGGCAACTTAGAAAGACCCTGTCTCTAAATATAGAAAAGGTCTGGGCTCAGTGGTTTAGCACCCCTGGGTTCAACCCCTAGTATCTAAATAAACATAATACATGCACATGGTTTAGAGATATTTTAAAAGCTTCATAGAGAAAATAATTCCATGCATATATAAACACATATCTGGTGTGTTCCTTGCTTTGCACAAACAGCAGTTTATGACACTTATTGTTTTCCATGGTGTTTTTTTTTTAATTCTTTTAAATTTCTTTTAAATTCGGCATCATAGGTATGGGTTAGGGTTCCTCAATCCTGCACACTAGTGACTTTCAGGTCTGGATAAGTCTCGGTGGCAGGGCTGTCCTGTCCACTCCGGAAGCCGCAGCAGCATCTGGGTCTCTACCCCTAGATGACATTAGCATCACGCACACACACAGTCAGCTATGAAAACCCAAATCGCCTCTCTATTGCCAAGTGTCCCCTGGGGGACAGAGTCCTTTTCTCCCCTCACTCCCAATGAGAACCGTTGGTAGAGGTGTCACATTCTTCTTAAGAGTTGCCCAGTCCTCCTTTGCGTGGGGACAGCATGGCTGATGATGTGCGTCACCAGTCCCCTGTTGGTGAATATTTAAGTTGCTTCTGGGCTTTGGTTAGTCAGAGTACTGATAACAGACATCCATGGGTGTGCTCTTTAGCACCTGCGTGAGTTTGTCTGGAGGATTCACCGTGATATTCCTCACTCAGTAAATATTGGTTCCGTGAACATATACGTGGAAGGAGAAGAACGTGGTGGGCTCTGGTTTCCATCTTTTCTACCAAGGAACTGCAATACTCTCTCAGTTGGAAGAATTGAAGCCTAGGCACAGAGAGAGACAGAACTGGGAGATGGAGTTTGCACTCAAACCCCTGGGTCCAACTGTGCCTGAAGCCACCCTGCTCCCTGATTTACCCATTCTGTAAAGCAAGGTTGGGGGGGGGGTTGTAAGCTGCTTCAACAATCCTGGGTGTCCACAGAAGCATCACCCCTCCAAGAAGCCTGTGCTGACTCTGTCCTCCTTTCTGGGCTCCCGTAGACTATCCGTCTGGGATGAGCTAATTACTTCCTCTCTGAGGACTGCTGGTCCCTTGTGAGCCTCCCTACCCCATGTGGATCAGGGCAGAAGCTCCAGGCTGTGTTTCTGAGCGGATGTGGGTCAGTTACGACGCACGGCCTTGACGCCTCTGTTAAGAGGGGCTTGATAGGTCCAGGCACACAGCCTCTGGCAGCCTGAAGAACTCTCAGCTTGGCTCAGGAAGTCCACCAACAGAGCAAACAATGCCGCTCCCGGGCACAGGGCTATGAAGGAGGGAGGAGCTGCATATGGGGGGGGATGGCACCTTCCAGGAACCTCTCCGTCCTGGGCCGCCCAATGGACATCACTGATGGCCTCTGAGATCTGTGCTTCAACTTCCCATTCACTTCCAGAACAGGTTCGGCTTCTCCTGGAACCTTCTTGCTCGAGTGCACTGCGCCCCTCCTGCCTCACACGAAGCGGGCTGTTTACATGGTGAATGTTCATGGCGTGCTCCGAGGGCCTTGGATGGGAGCCTCGGCACAAGCGCAACCCTGTGTAGGCCAGGAGAAGGGACAAGACCTCCCGGAAGGGTTTCCAACCTGTAAAGTAGTCCAAATCCAAACCAGGTAACGCAAGGGGATCCCAAAGGAGGGGGAGAAAGGAAAGCAATAAACAGGCACATCTAAGTGCCAGGCTCATTCCGGCCTCGCTGCTAAATGACCACCTACTATGTGCCAGGTACTAAATGACCACCTACTATGTGCCAGGCACTGTGCTAGGCTCTGGATGTTTAACTGTGGGGGGAAAGTAGCTTTCGTTCTAGCAGTGAGTCATTTAAAATGATAGTGCGTTGCAAAAAAAGGATGAATGAGGACGGTGAGGAAAGAGGGACTTGGGAGGGGCTGCTTGAGATTGGGAATCACCTCTGTCCCTACTCCAGCCTTACAGCCCCTGATGTCACTGTCCCTATTTCCTGGAAGGAGACGGCCCCCAAACCGTGCAGCAACCTGCCTCAGTCGCAGACAGTTTAGAGGGTACCCGGGGTTCGTGTTCATCAGGCTTGACACACGAACACAGAAATGACCATCACAAGGAGACTTTGTTCCATCCACAGATTTCCACAAGTAAGACGTATTGTCCTCCATGCAGGGACACAGGTCAGCAAGGCCCCAGACATCCAGGAACGAGGGGACCAAAATCCACAGATGGAAGGGGAACGTATCTGTCTTGTCACTCAAGACACCCTGTGGCCCCAGCTCACGAACACCCATGAGCCTCCAGACAGGGGGTAAGATGAGGCCAGGAGGCAGGTCCACTGTGGAGCTGAGGAGAAGGCGGTGCGGGTTCCGGAACACCTGAGCAGGTTCACCTTCTTATAAATTCTCCCCATTTCAATTCAGAGGTCGCTACTGGGGGGGTGGGGCTTCCTTGCTTAAAACAACAAAAATACCGTTTTGAACAACATGGCGGGCCGGTGCCCATGCTGTTTTAATTTGCTGTGACCAGATTGTCCAGCCCTTGTGGATTCGATCCCAGACAGGCTAGCTGGACTGACTCAGGGGAAAAAAAACGACTCTGTTTTTCAGCCACAAACTGTACCCTTCACCCTGGCCAAATATGTTGCAATCCTCGCTGAAGGTCCCAACTGTGGCCTCCCAGGAACCCAAGCTCACGGTCTGGATCCTGTTTGCAGACGGCTTGGCAGGCTGACCCTGGGCCATTGTTGTCCCCCATCCCCCGGGGAACCGCCCTGAATGGAGACCCCAGAGTGGGTCTAGGCTCAACCTCACCGTGAAACAAGACAAGGTACCAGTATGTGGCGGGTCTTCCATGCGTATGTGCTGCATGAAGAGTGCACACCTGGACCGGAGGGAGGGAGGAAGACAGGCTGGTTCCACTCATGATAAGCCTTTGCACTTCAGGATGACTTCAAAACCCAGGGACAGTAGAGCCTAGGGGTGACTGCTCTAGGGTCACCCAGATCTGAGCCCCTAAATTAAAATCAAACCTAGTTTACAGTTTTTAACCAAGCATAGGACCTTGTTCAGGAGAAATGTCGGTGACTGTGACCACAGACAAGGGTAAGCTGTTGTGACCAAAGACTCAACAAAAAAAAAAACCTTCTGCCCAAAACTTCTGCAGTCCGACCCATTTCCCTGCCCAACAGTCATAGGTACCAAAGTTTCTGTCATCAGGCCTTCAGACCTTCAAGAGTCACAAAGAAACGCGGATAGTCCTGTGGGGGAAAGGCTCAGACTCATTAGTGATCAAAGAAATACACGTTTAAATGAACAGATATCAAATTGGCAATTTTTTTTTAATTAAAAAGTTAGGTTGGCAAGCGTTCAGAAAGGGACGCCCCCCAGGGGTGCTAAGGGAGTATTAATTGGCATAACCTTTCTAGGTAGCAAGTTGGCAGTTTGTACCAAGAGTCTCAATCAAGTCTTCCCCGCTCACTCACTCATTCTTCTTCTAGGGAATTTCCCTAAAGAAATAATCAAGGATATAATCAAACGCTTAGGCATGTGGAAATTTCTTTCAGTGCTATTCATATTAGTTAAAAAAAAAGGGAAATGGCCCCTCTGAGTTCAACTATGAACAAGACAGCCTCCATCCATCCATCCATCCATCCACCCACCAATCCACCCTCCATCCATCTACCCACCCATCTACCTACCCATCTACCCATCCATCCATCCATCCACCCATTCACCCATCCATTCATCCACCCATCCATCCACCTATCTATTCATCCACCTACCCATCTACCCACCCATCCATTCATCCATCCACCTATCCAGCCATTTAATTATTCGTTTAGCAAATAGTTATTGAGTGTCTACCATATGCTCAGTCCGATGAGTGATTCCCAATTCAGTGATTGGATAATTAATGATATACATATATAATAAATTATTATCCAGCTAATGAAATGAATTTTTTTGAAATAATAAATGACTTAGAAGAATGTTTAAAGTATAATGGTAAGCATGCAATATCAAATTGCACACACAATATGACCTTAATGTTTAAAATGTATACATGTACACACACACACACACACACACTCTCAAGGGGAAATACATTGAAATGTTCGCTATGGCGATGAGAGTTTCTGTGATTTTTGTTTTCTTCTTTTATTTTTCTGTCTTTTATAAAAGTTGTTTTACACTGAGCATGCCAGGAAACAAAGCTATCAGAGATTTTTTTCCTGAATTTAAAAAAAAAATTGCAGTGAACCTAAATAATATAAGAACAAAGCTATCTCCATAAAAAAGGAGGAGGAGGAGGAGGAGGAGGAGGAGGAGGAGGAGGAGGAGGAGAAAAGAAAAGAAACAAACAAACCAATTAAGGCTTGGGGTTGTTCATTCATTCTTTTATTTGACAAACATTTACTAAGAACCTCAGAGAACGCAGACTCTAATCTCCAGACTCGGGCTCCCTGGTAGCTGAGATGTGCTGCCCTTTAAGACCAGTGCACAGGGAGGAGCTTTTGCCTGGGCTTCTGGGGGGAAGGGGACAGGAATGGGTCCCCGAGTTAGTAGCAGTGGAGACAACTCTGAAGGGAGACAGAATAAGGCAAGGCCTTGGGTGTCAACATAGAACAGTGAGGATGTGAACAGTGGACACGGTCCCCAGGGTTTCCTGAACTTGGAAGAGTCCTGTGGACCTTGGAATCCCTGAGGCCTGAGAACCAGGTGGACCCCCCAGACCTGATTGGTTTGACCTCCATTGACTTACAACTCGGAACCATTTCCACAAAACTCCAGACTCCTGGCTTCTTAAAAATCTAGTCCCCAGTACCTTCTAGGCCACGGGCAGCTGGGGCTAAGAAGCAGCTGCCCCCTTGGCCAGTCTCTCTTGGTCACTCCCTTGCCTGGCACCTGGCACCTCGGTAGGCATTTGAGATGGCAATTCCTCATCTGCCCAACCCACCACCCCCTAGACAGATGAGGAAACTGAGACCCAGGAAGATCTATGGCTCATCAATGTCGCTCAGCTGAGTAGTGACCCAGCCCGGACCCAGGCTCCTCACTCTGACCAGGAGCCTGATTCACAGTTGCTTTTTCCCTTACGGGGTCCCAGCTCAGCTTCTGAACCTGGTTCCTTGGGTGAGAAGAAAATGTAACTCTGAGCCTGCTCTGGACACCTCGCGGGCCAGGACGCATGCCAGGAAATGCATCCTTCGGTGGTTTCAAAGTTGCCTGAAGATCACGGTGCGTTTTCACAAGCCTAGATGACACCAGTCAATCACTCGACTTGTCCTCTGGACACCATCAAGAGACGCAGGAAACTCAGAGGGACGAGGCTGTTGCTGGTGTAACACAGCAGAATATTTTACAGTGAACTTTTGGTTTATGAGAGCAGAAGGGGCACACTCTAAGCCAACGATAGGCAGTATTCAGTAGGGTGAATACATAAGCCAGTAACAGACATTCATCACCATGATCGAGTGTTAGCTTCTGTACATAATTATATGGGCTATGCTTTCATAGGACAGGCCGTGCAGCAGGTTCGTTCACACCAGCGTCACCGCACAGGCTAAGAACCACATTTTGCTATGGCATCATGACGGCTACAATGTCCCTTGGCAATAGGAATGTTTCAGCTCCGTGTCACATTCGCAGCTTGCTGTTGATGTAAACACCCCGTGACTGTATTCGACGTACAAAACTATCCTTGTGAGTTCATAAGATCTTTCCTTCAGAGTCTTGATGCTCCGCGTCCTGTGTTTGTGTTTTCCCAGCAGGAGGGTCACCTGGATCCCAAGAGGACATGAGTGGCAAGAGAAAGTAAACATGCTTGCACTGGACGAGGGCTTCCACACGTGTAGGGCTTCCAGCACAGTGACCCCTGAGCCTCAGGAGCTCCCTGGCCTCCAAAGGTGTAAGATGCTCCTTCCAATGACTGGCGAATCCACGGCCCCCGGGGCCCGTCCACCACGTCTAGCTGCTGGGATTCTGTGATGCAATCACTGGGCAGGGAAAGGCTGGGCTCCTCTCTCACCACATGGCCAGGCTGGGTTTTGTCCAGGTTCTACTGGGCTGGCAAAGGGGTGATTTTTCTCCCTGTTGATGCCCGTGCGGACTGGAACAGGGCCACCCCCGACTCTGTCCTTTTGATGGCTTTTACTTATTTTCTGGCTTTAGATCAAGGCAGACGGCAGAGAAGGGACAGAGAGACGGAGAGGGCAGCCTCTCCTTTAAAAACGACCAGGAGCTCCGCTCGCCCCTCCTCCCAGCCCAGGGAAACTGGAGCATGGCTTTCCTCCAGAGCTGCCCGACCCAGGATCCTGCTTAGGGCACAAAAGCCGGGAAATTTCAGAGCCAGTCTCGACCCCGGGGAGGCCAGAGCCCGGGAGCTGGGCTTCCAATGATTCTCCCAGACTGCGGGGAGTTAAGGTGGCCGCCCGCCCTCGGCCTGCCCCACGGCAAGCAGGAAATCCCAGAATTTATAGATGACCCTGTCACAAGGCAAATGTTTTGGAACAAATTGTTCTGCTTTTAAATCCTTGTTTTCCACTGGTTTTTCTTTCTGGGTTTCCCCCTCCTTCCCACCTTCCTGCCGTCCTTGTTAAACCGGGGCCGTGGCGCCACCTACTGCCCTTTGTGGGCAGTGGGACTCAACTGGGATCCGGGGACCCTGGGCCTGCTGCCCACCTCTTGGGTCTCAGCATGGGTGGGAGGGTGGATTTCTGGCTCTGGTTCTGAGAGTCTGTGCTGAAGATCCTGCACCAAGCTGCTGGAGAATCGCGCTGCAGTTATGTGACCCGAAGACTCAAGGAAAACTGTGCCCTCAAGGTTTGGAAAAAGCAAATCAGAGAGCATCACCGTCTGCAAACCAGCTGTGCCAGGGTTGGTCATCTGGTCAATCCAGTGGGTTTCCATTTCCTCTGAACCCACGGTGTCCTTTTCCAGGTGGCAGAAAAACAAGTGTGCCTGTGTTCGCTCGCTCTAGTTGCTCAATTAACACGTGTGACCTTCCTCTCCTCTTTAAGGGTGGCTGGGGGGGGGGACAGCTCAGCGGGGTGTTAGAGGCAAAGTCCAGACCTCAGAAAAATGGCATCTTTATCTCCTTCTATGAACACGCCAGAGCAAATAGTCAGCTTTGCAAAGCAAGCCAGGGGCTCAGGCGGGAGGCCTGACAGCCCAGTACCTACCTGACAAGCTGGGTGACCCTAGGAAAGTTGCTTGTCCCCTCTGAAGCCTCAATGTCCTCCCCTGTCGGTGGGGCCTGTGACAGTAACGGCACCTCAACATGTTGCTGCAAGTACTGACACGAAGCAGGGCACACCCAGAACTGGGCAGAGAGAAGGTATCAAGCTGCAGAGATGATCTGGGTTTTCATGGTTTCAGGAGACATGATGCCTGGTGCAGAAGACGGATCAGTGACAGTCCGGAACTGCTGAGCTGCTCAGGATGCCCCTGGGATCTGCTCTTCCCTGTCCAGAGACCATGCTTTATTGAGTAAGGGATCCTTAGGCCGGGGCTGGGGCTCAGTGGTGGAGCGCTCGCCTAGCACGTGCAAGGCCCTGGGTTCGATCCTCAGCACCACATAAAGATAAATAAGAAAAATAAAGGTATTGTGTCCAATTACAACTAAAAAAATAAATATTAGAAGAAAGGATCCTCAGTTTTCCCACCTGTTCAATAGGCATGGCATCTGTCTTACCTGGTGGTCAGAGACACAGAGGGCATCTGGCCAGCAGGTACGTGAAACTGCTTCGAAAAGCTTAAAGAGGGAAGGAAAGAGGAAAGGGGGGGAAAGGAGGGAGGGAAGGAGGCATCTTGAGCAGCATCAGGCCAATTAGCTCCTTTTCTGCTGACATAAATTGAACACACTCTCGACAGTGGGTTCCCCCTCTAACTCAGTGGACACAGGAGAGTGGACGGCTGATCTCAGGTTGCTGGGGAGCCTCTCAGCAGAAGAGAGGTGGATCGGGCCATGACAGGAAGCAAGGTGGAGGCCAATTCCGACTTAGTCCCAGGGGTCCTAGGGAGCCACAGACAATTCATAAGCAAGGGAAGGGCATGACCAGGAAGAAAATTCAGGCAGCAGCAGGAGGGATCAATTACAGAAAGGACCAAGAAGCTCCTCCCATGCCGTGTGGCCTAGACTGAGGGTAGCCAGCTGTCCTGGCTTGCGTGGGGACAGAGCAGTTTCCCGAGACATGTGATCTTGAGTTTTTAAAACACATCGAAGTCCCAGTGTGAATGATACCTCCTAGAATCCAGCCATGCAGTGATTCTGACTAGAGCCCTTTAATCCACAGGTCCCACACCTCCGCATCCGCTCTCAAAATATAACCCATCTTGTCTCATTTCCTCCCAGTTCTGTCCTACTGAGCTAGGTTAGCAGAGTAATGCATCGGGATGGACGACTGCTGACCCCTTCAAGGTAACAGTTGTGCATTTAAGCACCACCATCTCCTGACGACGATGCTTTCATCCAACAGAGTAACTAACACTAAAAATGTTAGCCCAGGAGAGATGGGGAAGATGGTGGGGGGGAGCATGCCACGTCACTCACATCTCATCCGGTCCACAGCCATCTATTTTACCTTGCACAGGGCCACCTGGCTCTCAGCTCACCAGCCCGCCCTGCCAAAGCAATCCTGCAGGAGCCGGGGCTGCTTGAATATTCTGTAAATAATGCTGACTACAGAACTTCAGAGATAGACTCATGGAATCTCAGCAATAGAATCACAGAATGTCAGAGGAGAAACAGATGCTAGACAGCACACGGTCCAGGGTCGGAAAATACACCACACTCAGGCTGCCGCTTCCCCCTGCCGTGCCCATGGCAGACATCACTAATCAATCATGACACTGTCTGGCTGAGCTTGTTTGCAGCCTTCGGATCCTTCAAGACAGCTGCAAATGATCTTGGATCAGTAAATCAGAGCTAAGGATTATTGAACACCCTTACTGAATTCCCTTTCCCACATTCCACTTTAATCGCCAACTGTTTGCCAGCTATTCTCTATCAGGGATTCTCAGCCTCGGCACCATAGGTGTGTCTGGGCTGGATAACACGTGGTGGTGGGAGACTGTTATCAGAGGACGGCATCCTTGTCCTCTATACACTAGGTACCAGAGGAAGCCCCTTCCGTTAAGTTGTGACAACCTAAAATCTCTGTGACATGACCATGTCCCCTGGATAGGAGGAGAGGACAAGAGCAGACCCACCCCTGTTTGAGAACGTATGGTGTATCTATCTATTCTCTCTCATCGTCCCCGCAGATTTTCTGGATTTTCACTTTACAGATGAAGAAACAGAGATCGAGAAGGAGTTTCAGGATGAGTTAGTGACAAAGGCAGACGGTGGGACCCCAATCCCCTCCTACAGCTGGGGAAACTGTTCAGTTCATTGTCTTTGGCTGGAAACTCCTCAGGGCGGGGGGCGGGGGTTGGAAAACCAGGCCCTAGAGTGGCTGGGTGGCAGTGCGTCCTGCGCTCCTCCCAGTCCATGGTGGAGACGGCCCAGGGAAGTGGCTGTGTGGGACCATATGGCGCTTGCCAGTGGCAGTGGTGGCACCTCGAGTCATAATGCCTCCCTTCTCTCCAACGATGACAAGAGTCTCCTTGCTTCACAGGAAGCACATGAAATCTGGCCTCGCCTCCAGAGATTTGGGGTTGAAAACCTGACAGTTTAGACATACAGCCCGTGGGCGATGTTTCCCTTCTCCGGGGCTGTGTCTGTGCCAGGAATTCCTAACAAAGGGGGGAAAGGATTAATTAATTAAAAAAAAAAACATAAAAAATGTTCAGGAAACTGACTCATAAGAAACTGTCCCTTTTTTTCTCCTTGGTAGCGATCAAAACGTCGCGAGTTCCTACACACATATTTTACAGAGGTTTCATAATCTTCCAGCGGTGATTCTTCCTATAAGGAAGGTCCCTTGGGAAGTCATTGAGGCCTCCTCACTACATGTATTCCAGAGAAAATTGGATGGAACACTTAGAGAGGGGAGGAGGAGGGAGGGGAGGAGGGAGGGGAGGAGGAGGGTGGGGAGGAGGCGAGGGGGAGCCTGTGGACCAAGTTCACTGCCAAGGGCAGAGGCACCGAAGACCCCTTTTCCTGGAAATTCCTAAAAATTTCCAAACTGTCTTTCACTTCAAGGGCCCAAATCATCTCTTTGTGCTGTCTTTTTATTCTCTTATCTATTTCTAGTGGCAAATATGAGACTTTTTTTTTTTTTTGGCACCAAATCTTTAAAAGTCGAGGGAGGAAGAAAGAAAAAAATCAACCATCAAACAACAACATCAACCAACAACAATCAGCAAGCCAAGCAAAAAAACAATCAAAAAAAAAAATCACCCCAAATCCCAAGATTTTTTTTTTCTGTTTTGTTTTGTTTTGAAGATTTTCCTGGGCAGTGTGACAGTTGTGTTTCATCAAGGGGGGTGGGAGTGGGGGGGTCCAACTTTAGTGCACATGCCCGTCCCCGGGGAGCTTGTTAAAATCTCAGGTTCCCCAGGCCTGCACCCCTGAGAGGGAGGGTATGGGGGGGCACGGATCTGCGTTTTTAATAAGCCCTTGGGTGGCTCTGCTCAAGCTAGTCCCAGGACCACACTTTGAGAAATAATGAGTTTCAGGTTTTTTCAGCTCTCAGCAAATCAGAGATGTGAAAAATCCACATTAAAAAAAAAAATCAGGGAGGGTAACGATTTTTCTGGAAGGGCTCCGCTTCAATAGGCATTTCCCTTCGCGCCGGTAACATATGATTCCGTTCACACCCGGGGAGGCAGCGCGCAGCCAGGACCTCAGCCGAGCGCTCTGGGCCAACGCGGCACACCGCCACCTTTTTACAGAGCAGCGTTGACACCCATCTGCTCAAATAAATTAACGTTTCCATCTCAAATAACTCATTTGGCTTCCTCGGGAAGGTTACAGGCCAACTCAAGGGGGAGGGGAGGAGGCGGCCTGGGGGAGGGGGAGGTGGGAGGGGCGCCTTGGAGGTTGCAAGGCGCACTGTTGCATTTGGGGGCGCCCAGGGAGGAGCATGCAGCCCCTGCACCCCCTTACCTCTCCTCAGGGTCCCCACTGATGCCTCGGGGTGGTCACAGCAGGAGGGGAGGGCGTGCTTGTGCACATGGATGCACCTATATGTGTGTATGGGGTTGGGGGACAAGTGTGAGGGGCAGAGGGTTTTCTGGACCATCAAAGGACAGGGTGTTTGGCCCAAGGCTCAGGAGAGCATATGATGGAGACAACAGGTACCTTTCTTTTCTTTTTCTTTTTAATTGGCTCTTTACAATTATGTGTGACAATCAAATTTATTTACCTTTTCTTTTTTACGAGAGCAGGAGCGGGTCGAAGGGAGCGTGGTCATATGTGTATCTATGGAAAGGTCACAGGGAAGCCCGTTAATCTGGACACTCAACGTGTAGGAAGAATTAAAAGAATTCAATTTGAGAAAATGAAAGACTTTCTTCCTTGGAGTAGTTTTAGGCTTCATTTTTTAGGGTTTCACATCAAAATAAAGCAGAAGGTGCAGGGATTTCCCCCCACTCCCCTCTGTCCCCATACATGCCCAGCCTCCTTCATGAGCAGGGTCCCCTACCAGAGTGGCACCTGTTACCAGGGGTAAACCTCCAGAGACCCACCATTATCATCCAAAGTCCATAGAAACATTTTTTTTTGGCAGGGGGTAACCAGGGATTGAACTCAGGGGCGCTTGACCCCTGAGCCCCATCCCCAGCCCTATTTTGTGTTTTATTTAGAGACAGGGTCTCGCTGAGGTGCTTAGGGCCTGGCTTTTGCTGAGGCTGGCTTTGAAATCGAGATCCTCCTGCCTCAGCCTCCAGAGCCACTGGGATGATGGGCGTGTGCCATGCACCATGGCGTCTGGTGAAAGTTTTTATTTCGAAATCATTTTAGAGTTACCAGAAACGTGTCCAAATAGGACAGCGGCCCCATTCACCCTTCGCCAGCTTTCTTTGACATGCCGTAGTTACAGCCCGCGAAATTTATACAAGGATGAAAACCAGAAGCTAACCCTAGTTCCTGACTCTTTAACTCAATGACAAATCCTATTTTGGTTTGACCCATTTTCCCACTAAAGTCTTCTTTTCTGAACAGGAACTTTCAAGTCAAAGAGATTTGGATACGAATCCCAGCTCTGTCTCTTCAAAATTGTCCAAATCACGTGATTTCTCCGGGGCCTGTTTTTTTTTCTCTGTGAAATGGGAAACAGTGATACCCGCCCAGTAGGGTCTTCATGATGTTTAAATGCAGAAACGTGTGCCCGGGGCCTGGCAGGAGAGCAGGCCCCGTGATCAGCTTGACTTCCCTACCCTCTTTCCATCCAGAAGGACAAACGGGCATTTGTGCAAATTCCTGTTAGACCAGTTGGACTTCAACTTAGCTGGTAGATCAAGTTTCTGTATTTTGGAAGAAAGGAAAAGAAGTGACCACAGCGGCGGCACCCTGGCATCCTGCATGCAAGAGGGTCTTCTGGTGCCGGATCAAGGGCAGGTTTATGTTACCAAGAACCGGAGTTTTTAAAAAGTCTCACCACTGAAAGGCGGCTTCTCCCAGAGGAAGGAGACTGAGGACCGGCTGCCTCCTGCCCGTGTCTCTCCCCACACAGCCTAGTCGATAGTGGACAGACTCACCCTGAGACCACGGCCAGGGACCGGGGCTGGAAATGTCCAGGAGGATCTTGAGCAGCGACCACCGCATCTCTTTCTGGATCTGCAAATGTGGCCAAGGTTGCTGAGTGGTCAGGAGAAGCTGGCGTCCAGCAACAGGATTGTCCTTTGGACAGTTTCAACCAGGAGGTTCAAGTCACCGTGGGCTGTTTGTGAATATTGTCTGGGCCACTGATCTCATTCTGAATAAAGAGAATAAAAGGCGAAAAGGTAGCCCGCAACCTACATGGCCCTGGTCTCACAGAAAGAAACCTGTTTTCAATTTCACAGCTCTCCCTGACTATTGGCCTTGACCTAAAGTATGTAGATCATCCTGACATGGAACACCTAGAGTTTTCATAACTGATTCATTTTTGAGTCTAACAATCTGTGTTTTCAGGAAATCTTAGAGGCATGGAAAAGCTCTACATCTCAGCAAAAGTTCAATTCTTAATAAAATTTTCATTGAAAAAATTATGGTTCATATAGGAAAACACTGTGTAGAAGTGCAAACATATTGCAGATTTAGTCTGCACGGATATGCTAAGCTGCAATAACAAGTAAGCCTTGAGATCTTAACAGCCTTGAGATCTTAAATGCTCCTAACAGGTTCATTTCTCATTTATACAAAGTCTGATGCAGGACAACAGGGACCCCCTTCCATTTTGGCACATGGTTTCCAGAGTCACGATGACAAAAGAAGCGCGTGCGCGCGCAAGAGAGGTAGGAAGCTCCCACCCACTTTTGGCCCAGGAAGGACATACAGATATGCCTACTGCCCAATGGCCAGGCCTAGTCACCAAACTCCAATCCAACCACACGGAGATGAGGGATGTTTAGTGGCCATGACCGTCTCTGCCATCTGTTATCCCCATGCCCATCCCACTCTGCTGAGGCAAATAACTCCTGTCAGCAGTTTGGTCCATTTCCTTCTAGAACTTTCTTTCATACATGTTTACTTGTGCACGTTCCCTCTAACTGTACTCTACATTCATATGCCATGGACAATGTTTCTTTTACAAAAAAGGGGCCCTGCTTTGAACCTGCTTTTGCCCTGTGCGACATTTAACAATATATCTTGAACCGCCGTAATAGTGACAGTGAGCTAAAACGTGTCTCAATAAGAAAACAGAGATTAAGCTGCATTCTCTGTGCCGTCCGTCCACTCAGGCCGTAAGGTCCTGGGCCACAGGTACAGCACCTCACCTGGGTGTCGCTCACGGGGACCTGCCTGTTCACAGCCACAGCGCGGAGGAACTTCCCCTCCCCCAACCCCCCGTGGAGACTTACCTTCCTGGGTTCAGATGACCCTCATTTAGCTCCCACCTCTCAGAGGCCTTCTCTGAGCACAGCTCTGTCTTCTCCAGCCCAAGGGTCTCAGCTTTTCTCAAGTGACATTTGGGGCTGGGTGACTCTTGGTCAGGAGAGGGCTCAGGGCCGGTGGCTCGTATATTCAGACACCAACAGGGAAATGTGAGAACTATTTTGCTTCTTGGAGTGATGTGCGGATCCATCCCTCCGGCCATTCATTCAGACATTCTTCCAATGCTTATCGGGGGCCAGGCACGCTGGCACACACCTATAGTCCCAGCCACCCGGGAGGCTGAGGCAGGAGGATCACAAGTTCAAGGTCAGCTGGGCAACTTAGTGAGACCCTGTCTCAAAATATCATTTTTAAAAAGGGCTGGGGATGTAGCTCCGTGGTAGAGCATTTGCCTAGCATGCACTGCCGCAGTCTGGCTGGGCACAATCAGGAGCCACTTGTCAAAAGAAACTAACTTTATTTTTAGAACCACACACGACAAACAAAATAGTCTCTCAGGAAAAACCCTCAGAGCCTCAACTGCCACCACCGGCTTTCCACAAGCCTCTCTCTCCCACACAAGCTTCTCTCCACCTCCCACAATCCTCCTGCTCTTGAGGCCGATTGGCTGGGTCACGTGGGCGGAGCCAAAAAAGTCCCCCAATGAGCAGCTCCGTGGTCTGAAAGGGCAGGGAAACAGTCCAATGAGCATCACCGCAGAGGAGCCAATCAGCTAGATGTTGCTGGGGCCGCTGTGAGCCAATCATCAGCCAGCAGCTGCCAGCAATGCACAAGTCCCTGTATTCAATCATTAATAAACACACACACACGCACACACACACTAAGCCCTTGCCATATTCTTGGTGATAGACCATCTAGTGGTTCAGAGAAATCACTGGAAACAAAGAAGTCTCACTTAGATACCAGCTCTGCCATTTATTTGTTGTGTGGCCTTGGGGAAGTTACCTAACTTCTCTGATCCTAAGTCCACTCATATAAAACAGAGATTAAAAAAAAAAATTACCTCCCCATGAGGCAGTGAGGATTAAATGAGATAACATGTGTAAGGGCCTAGTAGTGAAACTTCAAATGGGAAGTGTCTATTGGCTTTGTGGTCATAATAGTTATTCTACTTTCAAAAAAACGGGGTCTAGGCTATAGTCCTTGGATACAGAGCTCAAAGGGACAGTGGTGGACAATGAAGCTGTCGTCGGACCAGCAGTACCTCTCTGTTCTCTCTTAGGGAATACTGAAGTCTGGAGCAGAAGGGAGACTGCGCCATCATTTGGTTTGACCATCTCAATTCACAAGGAGGAGATGTGACAGTGGCAGATTTGGGGGGAAGAGACGTGTTCGAAGTCGTGGGGAAGCCGAGGAGCAGGCCTGGGCCAGAGCTCAGCCTCCCGAGGCCCGGAGGCTGCCTTTCCCTCTCTGTCTGTCTGGCAGAGGGCTGGACGGGGCAGGCGCCTCCTTTCTCAGTGTCAACCACAGACAGAAGCCCCAAAGACTCGGCCAGTGGAAAATCTAAGTCAATGTACTTTTAGGGATGTCTGTTTCCATAGAGATTCACAAATAATCAGACACAATCGTTCCTTATCTGGACAGAAAGAGCCATTCATTGCAGGAGGACGAGTAGAGGTGACATTCCCACTGACCTGGCCTGGGGGACAGAAAGGCCGGGCTGGGCGCTAGGAGCCTGAGGTCCACAAGCCAACCTTCCAGGAGAGGGGCCTGCAGTCTCTTGACGGTTCTGAACCCTGATAACGTCCAACCTGCCCATCCCCATGGACAGTGGTGGACGGGGTCCCCCCCAGACACACGATGGCAGCCCTGTCCTTGGGAAGCGTTTCCGCCCCTGTGCGTCTCCAAGCCCTTTTTATTTCGAGATAAGGTCCTGCTGCTGAGTTGGCCAAGGCTGGCCTCAAACTTGTGACCCTCCCGCGTGAACGTTGAGTGCTGGCCTGGCTCACCCTAACCACACAACGAGGGTCACAGTTTCACAGTAGGAGTGGTGACTAGGACCACCCCAACTGTCATCCAACAATCTCGGAGGGATAGCATGACTTTAAAAAGCCTTTTTGGAGAGGTCAGCCCTGAGCTGGCCCCATCAGCTAGCTGACCACAGGATAAGGGGAGAGGCCACCCGGTCAGAGGACCCAGCCCAGGGGACCACAGCGGGCCACAGAGCATGAGGAGCATGTGAAGAAAGTGGGCCCAAGTGCCAGGGCAGAGGGTCAGGGTGGGTGATCAAGGGCTGGTGCACTGGGGCTTTGGGCTCAGGAAGTCTCGGGTTCAAGTCCTGCCACTCTGCTCAGGAGCTGTGTGTCCCAGGGCACCTCGTCTGTCTCTGTTCCTGCCTTGCACGAGACATGCGTGAACAGTGCCTACTCCCCTCGGCTTGTGGCCACCCCAGGGTGCACCCTGGGAAGGACTCTGCAGCGGACCCGGCCAAGGAGCCTGGGATCAAAGGACTGGACTGCTCTGGCTAAGCTCTATGGCGTGGACAAGTGCTTACCCCTCTACCTGGCAGTTCCTTGTCTGCAAAATAAGATTGGTGGTCACCCCACAAGGGCTGCTGGAGGTACTAAGAGAACATCCAGGATGCACCCATTAACTAGGATGATGCCCTTTCCGTTTACATCCAAGGAAAATCGAGCTCAGAGAGGGAAAGCGCCTTGCCCAAGGTCACACAGCAAGTCGGTGGCAGTCTGTCCTACTGGCAGCATCCTGCAGGATCAGAGGTCCAGGCGACTTCCTGGCAAGGGTCCAGGGGGCAGGAACCTGAGGTGGCACGAGGCGCTCCCCCTTTGTAGGTTGTTTTCCTGCATGAAGGGCAAGGTGGCATCCACCACCTGCAGCCTATAAATCTGCCCTGGTGGCCGCCGCATCCAGGAATTGTGCAGCTCTGCCGCCCGCTGAGGAATCAGGTGGCACCAGCAGACGGACTCCCCAGGCTACTGGAACCGGCTCGGCTGCCACCATTTATTTTGGACAGGACACAAGATGGGGTATCAGAGGAACCCGCGGCTGGTCCGAGGAAGCGGCTCAGGAGCCAGGACTCTGCCCAGCTCTTCCAGGCACCGAGCTGTCCCCCGCGGCCACCCCGGGGCCCGGCAGAATGCAGCCTGTTTCCATCCAACTTCATTCATTGAAATTTAACCCAAAGACACGGAGGCCAACATCCTCCTGGAGGGGCGGCTTTGACTATGGTCCAATACATCGTCAGTTAGACACACGATCCTTACAAACGGGGGGCTCGGAGAGAATTAGGTGGGCGCACCCCAGGTCTCTGGCAAGGCCAGTAAAGGAAGGGCCCCGACCCGGGCTCCCCAGGCACCCAGAGCTGCGGGATGTGCTGGAGCGTGTCTGTCCCGGGCTTTGCTTTCCTGTGAGCGTGGCTGCCCCTTCCTCTGCTTGAGGCACTGCCTGGTCACCCCTATGCCCCGTCAGCTGCCCACAGACGCCAACGGGCACTCGGGCATCGGGGGTGCTGCCATTCAGAGATGTCCGTCAGAGCCACGTGAATGCTGAGGGGGCTCCTGGGGAGGGGGATCCTCGGGGACCGCCATGGCCAGTGACAGCAGTGTCCCTTCTGCGTGAGTGAGTGGGTCTGGACGGGTGACTGTGACTTTTTTTGTTTTTGGCAGGTGGACACCGTGAAAGGGACAGGAGTCCCCGATCAAATCCTGGCTGACAACCCCCCCCCACCCACCGTCTCCCTCTCTGTATGGGCGGCTCCGGGAGCTTGCCCCCCCGAGGTTTAAGATGCTGAAGAGCCTCCAGACATCCAGCCTCCTGGGGACCGTTGACCTACTGTACGGAAGGCTGGCTTCCTCTGCTCCTGGAAGTCATGTCCGTCCCCAGGGCCCAAAAGCCTGTAGCGAAGCCAGAGAAATGGCCCAGGTGGATCTCGGGGGGATCACTGGCTTCGTGGCTATGGGACACGGTAACCCTTTGTTCAGCCGGTGCTCAGAGCCAACTCAGAAGCTTATCAGAGGATCCACCCCCCCACCCCCTGCCAAAATCAACTACAAATGTTGGGATGAAGGAGGAGAGCAGTCTGTACCCCAAGGACTTAAAATCAGCATACTACAGTGACGCAGCCACGTCAATGTTTACAGCAGCACAATTCACAATAGCTAAACAGTGGAACCAACCTAGATGCCCTTCAGTAGATGAAAGGATTAAAAAAATGTGATATATATATATATATATATATATATATATACACACACACACACACAGTGGAATATTACTCAGCACTAAAAGAGAATAAAATCATGACATTTGCAGGTAAATGGATGGAGTTGGAGAATACCATGCTAAGTGAAGCTAGCCAATCCCCCAAAACCAAAGGCCGAATGTTTTCTCTGATAAGCGGATGCTGACCCATAATGGGGAGAGGGGCATGGGAGGGATGGAGGAACTTTGGGCAGAGGGGAAGGTGGGGAGGGGAGGGAGCGTAGGGGTAGGAGAGATGGTGGAATGAGGTGGACATCATTACCCTAGGTACGTGGATGATTGCACAAATGGGGTGACCGTACCTTGTGTACAACCAGAGAAATGAAACGTCGTTCTCCACTGGTGTACAATGACTCGAAATGCATTCTGCCATCATGTACAATTAATTAGAACAAATAAAATATATAAATATATATATATATATATATATATATATATATATATGTATGTAAAGTTTACATCATAAAAAAAGAAAAGAAGCCAAGCAGCCCCCCAACCTGGCCCGTCTGGGATCCCAACGTGTTCCTCGAGTGCTCACCCACTCATCCGCACCGCCACCTGGAAGTGTGCCATCAGGCAAAGGTCTGGATTCTGTTTACGACTACAAACTGTGGAGTGCTGTTCCCCTGCTGGAAAGAAAAGAAAATGCCCAGCTGTGACTGGAAAGAGCAACAGGGGGGAACACGCTCGGGCGGTTGGCAGCCTACAGAAGCCAGGCCCCGCCTGGAGGGAGCC